CGCGCGCGCACGCGCGCGCGTCGGTCGGAGTCCGCGCGCGCGCCCGCCCGCCCGCCGCCGGGGCAACGCACCCCCTCGGGGGCTGAGCGAGGCGGGGGCGCCACACTCACCGCGGCGCGGCTTGATCCCCGAGGCGGCGGCGGCGGCGGCGGCGGCGGCGGCGACAAAGGGCGCCGACCGCGGGCGACGGCCTCCCTCACAGGCAGGCTGCCCTCACGACAGCGACGCAGGCGGGCTTCGTTTGCCGGAGACGTCCTTCCTGCCACTAACGCATTTCCGGCCATCGGCGCGCTGGGACGTGTAGTCCTTTTAGTACTCGTCCAATAGGAACGGTGGTTGTGCTCCGCCACGGCCAATGAGCTCCTCTCCGGCCTCGCCCTTCCCCGTTGCCCTCCCCTCGAGGCTTCGGGACCTCACCCAATCGCGCGTCTCCGGCCCTGCGATCTCTACACGGGCTCGCCCACACTTCCCGGGCAGGAGCTGGCGTCTCGCGAGAGCTCGGCCTCCGCGCGCCCTCGGAACGGCGGACTACAGCTCCCAGCATCCCTCAGCGGGCTGGCTCGCGACTCCCGCCGAGGCGCCTGGCGTGGCGGTCGAGGCATCTGCGGGGCGGCTGGCGGGCCCCGCTCCCCCGGAGGCTCGCTGCCCGCTGCCCCGGCCTCCACGGCCCCGCATCGCTCCTGCGCGCCCGCCCGGGCTCCCGGGACTGCCGCTCCCGCGCTCCCCGCCGGTGCCCCGCATGCAAGCGTGCAGCCCAGGCGAACGGCAGGGGGCGCCCAGCCCGCGGCGCGCTCCCGCAACACGCGGGGCCTCTGGCGTGGCAGCGCCGCGGCCCGAGGGCTGTTCCTCCCCCGGCGCGGTCCGCGTCTTCCCTCCGTGCCGAGGCCGCGGGACCCCTGCGCCCCCCCGCCCGCTCGCGCTGCGGCCGAGCGGCGACGCGGAAGACCCAGGCGGGAAGGAGCCGCGCAGCTCCCCGGAGGCGAGCCCGTGCGCGCCAGGCATTGGATGTGCAGCTGGCTCGCCGCCGCTGGAACCAGGGGCCCGCGATAGCCCCCTCCTCCAGGAATTAATTTCCCCTCCCCATCTGGAATCTCCCCCAGGCAGTGTCACGGGGTGGCCCCTCTGCATGCCAGCACCGTGGGAGGAGACGGCCGCCCCCACCCCTGCCCCGTGCGTTGCTTTGGACACCTCGGTCGGTTCGTTCCGTGGCTTTTTCCCAACGGTTCTACATCCTCTAAACGTGGTGACCAGAATGGTAGTCTAAATGGTCACATGGTAGATTTGAATAAGGGGGAGTAGGATCTTGGCGGTTTCATTTTCAGTTCTTTTCTTGATGATGTTTACCATCCGGTTGACCTTTCTTTTCACAGCTGCCGGCTGTGCACACGGTTGACAATTCCACTGGGCTGTCAACCACAACACCAAGATCCCTTTCTCGGTCAGTTGCCCGCTAGATCATCTGCCCCTTGTGGCATGCAGACTACCTGAGCTCCCATTACTGTTTTTGAGTAAACCCCAAGCACTCTGAAAGGACTAACCCTCTTGATGCCTCCTTTCAACTTCTTTTAACTGGATTTCCCATTTTGAGAAGTTTCCTCTTTCGAAGTCTGGTATGACTGTGTTGGACTTCCAAGGCTGTGACTGATGGTGCTATGATTAGCATTTGTGGCAGAGGACTGGAGAATGGCCAAGTTTTTACACACAAGTTTTTAGAAAAGGGATCCATTGGGGATCTGGGGAATTACAAGCTAGTTAGCATAACATCTGTTCTAGAAACTGCTTGGAACCATTCTTGAAACCATACTTAGAATCAGTGAACATAGAGGGACCAGCCCTGCAGAAAAAACAGTCGGCATGGCTTCCCGCATGAAGTCTTGTCTCAACAACCTATTGGAGTTCTTTGAGAGGTTCAGAAAGGGCATTGACAGGGGCAATACAGTAGACATGGTTCACCTGGACTTCCAAAGAGCTTTTGACAAAGAACTTCACCGCAATCTCATCCTGAGCAGTCATGGAATAAAAGGGACACGTCCTCTTATAGATCACTAACTGGTTAAAGAACAGAAGACAGAGGGTGACAATTTCTCCCAATGGAGAGATGTCACCAGTGGAGTCCCACAGAGTTTGTTTCTCGGACCAGTGCTTTTCAACCATGAATTCAATCATAAATGTACTGGAATTAGGAGTAAGCAGATATGTGGCCTGGTTTGCTGATGACACTAAACTTTTTAGGGTGCTTAAAACCTCAAGGGATGTGACAAGCTCTAAAGGGACCTCTCCAAGCTGAGAGCATGGCAGTCAAAATGGCACGGGGGGTTTGGTGTAAGCACACTGGGGCAAAAACCCCAGGGGCAAGTCTAGGCTGCAGAAGCTGAGCCAGCCAAGAGAGGGCGCCTGGGCAGCGGTGGGCAGCTCGACACAGGCGCCAGTCCAGTGCGTGGCTGCTGTTAATTAGGCAAACCCCATGATGGGCAGTATTAAGAACAGAGCTGGAAAGAGAACTGCCAAAATCATACTCTCCTCATGCAAATCCTTGGTGCAGCAGCACTTAGAGTATTGCACTCCGTTCTGGTTGTCTTCCTTGAAAAAGGAAAAGACGGGGATCTGGGGGTGCTGGTCAACAGCAGGCTGAACGTGAGCCAGCGGTGTGATGCGGTGGCCAAGAGGGCGAACGCCACCCTTAAACGCATAGCCAGAAGTGTGGCTTCCAGGTTGAGAGAGGTATTACTGCCACTCTATACGACTCTGGTGCGCCCGCAACTGGAGTATTGTGTTCAGTGTTGGGCCCCTCGTTACAGGAAGGATATAGCCAGGTTGGAGTCAGTGCAGCGTAGGGCCACAAGGTTGGGAGCCGGTTTGCAGGGGATGCCGTATGAGGCGAGACTGAGGGAACTGGGTCTCTTCAGCCTGGAGGAGACTCGGAGGGGATATGTTGGCGACACACAGGTGTGTGAGGGGGTGTCACACGGAGGTGGGGAGAGACCTCCCCTGCAGAGGAAGGCAGGAAGTGCTCCAACGGAGCAAAGCTCAGGGAGCCAAGGTTCCATTTGGATGCAGGAAGCACTTCCTGACAGTTAGGACCCCGAGGGTGTGGAATGGGCTTCCCCGGGGGGTCGTTGAGGCCCCAGCGGTGCGGGTGTTCAAGGACAGGCTGGACATGCACATGGTAGGCATGGCATGAGCGGAGCCAGCTGGAGCTGAGGGTCAGACTAGATGGCCCAGGAGGCCCCTTCTGGCTCATTCTGTTTCTATGAGTTGGAAAAAGTACAAAGGGCCACAAAATGGCCAGCGGCTGCAGCAGCCCCCCCCTGAGGAGCAACTACAACTGGGACTGTTCAGCTTAGAGAAATGGGGCACAGGTGTTTCAAATAATGCAGGGTGTGAACAAAGTAGAACTGGAGGAAGTTTCCTCTTCTCCCATAATGTTTGAACCCGGGGTCACCCCATGAGGTGGATTGGTGGGAGGTTTAGGACAGGAAAGGAAGCACTTCTTCATGCAGCATATAGTTCAGTAATGGAAATCGCTGCCACGGGAAGCGGCGATGGCCCCAGGGGGGAAGAGAGGGACCGTCTCCTGGGGGCCGCCAGGGGGCTCTGCCAAAGCGAACACCCCACTTCTGGATCAGCTGCTGCTGGGCTAGAGCAAGATCCGTGCACCTGCGGTAAGACAAAGGGGCGCTGGAGGGAAGGGGGCCGCTGGGGAGGACGGGGACCGGCTGGAGCAGGCCCCCAGACGGCAGTGGGGGAAGACCGTGAATCGGAGAGTGGCTGATGGGAGCGGAGGGCCGGATTAAGGTGCTGTCCCCCTTGAGCCCTTGAAGCGTGCGGGGAATGAGGTTTTTGGTGCTCTCAGGCCACACCTATCCTGTGCTCACAAATTAAATTGGGTGAAGGGATGGCGAGAGGCCGAAGGGGGTGGAGCAGGAGGACGGGCTTGGGCTGGAAAGAGGCAGGCCGGCCAGGTGCCCCCGAGTCGTCATCTCCCAAGGGGACAGAGATGCTGCCAGGCGAGAAGGAAGCCGTTGCCTGCTTGGGGGTCCCAACCACCAGGAAGCAGCTGTGCGACTTCGGGGCGTGGCGGGCTCTTGCAGGCCACGGATCCCATGGTCTGAGGAGTTGCAAAGGCCCTGCACCAGGCAGTGGAGGGAAGGACTCTGATCCCTTTGAGGAGACGAGACAGATCAAAGTTGCAGCACCTGGAGAGCACCTTGGCGCAAGCACCAGCTTTAGGCGACCCAGACACGAGCGGCCAACCGCCCGTGTGCACGAGCGGAAGGGTGTGGGATCGGGTTCTGTGGCTCAGCCCTCTGGGGGCTCATGGGGCCGAGCGGGCTGTTTTTCAAAGCAGCTGGATGCAGTGGCCCCGGGATGGCCTGCCTGCCTGAGGACTGCGGCAGCAAGCTGTGTGCTGGCCAAGGGGCCCCTGAGCTGGCACTAGCCAGCCCCTGGCGAGCGTGGTCGTCGCGCAGCACGACCGCTGCTGCAGCAAGGGGGCCCATGGATGCCGCAGGGCCGGCCAACCCCATAGCAAACCTGACTTGCGATGCTGCTGTCGTTGGAATACAGAGCAGCCAGACAATAGCACGTCACCCTGGCCCTGTACGATGTGCACTGGCTACCAGGAGAAGGCCAGGCTCAATTTAAGGTGTTAACGATGTCACATAAAGCCCTAAACGGTTGAGGGGCTGGGTATCCGCAGCCGTGTACACCTGCCCGACCTCTGAGAACTTTGTTGGAGGTCCTTCCTCAGGAGCCCTTTGAAGGAGAGCAGAGGGGTGGCCCCCAGAAACGGGCCTTTTCCGCAGGAGCGCCCCCCGCTTTGGAAGGCGCTCCCCAGGGAGGGCCACCCAGCGCTGCGGCTCCATTCATTTGGCTCCAGGCCAGCCCCTTTTATTTTCCCTGTATTTTATTGTATCTTCATATTCTTTTTATGTGTGCTGCTTATTATATCACCATCCTGAGGCCCTTGGCATTGGGCAGGATATAAAAGTTTTAAGTAAATAAATTCACCACCTCTCGCAGAGTCCGGCCAGCTGGTGCCCACCAGTCCTGAGCCTGAGCTGGCACACACAGGCCGACAGGTGCTTGATCGAACCTGGGCCAGCCGAGCTGAGCAAGAACCATGGTTCGGCAAGCCCGCTTCCGGTGCTGTGTGCCGGCCCTTCTGCATCGCGGGCCTGTGGGCAGGAGCGCCCTGAGCCAGAGGAGCCC